AACTCAGCGACCAGAGCAGACGCAGCGGCGGACTCAAAAGAAGGGTCAGTGACAACGGTAGCAAGGAGACGCGTAACAGTGGGACTGGCAGCACGACGGGCGTCAGACTCCGGGTCAGGAAGAGTAGGTAGGGAGGACGCAGGAGGAGACGGCAGCGGGACACGCTGCGGAGCAGTGGAGGGACGCAGAGTCATGTAGTGAGTGCCAGGGACAGGAGGAGGACGCTCACGTGGGACACGACGACCAGTGCGAGCGGTACGAACAGGCGACGCAGGACGAGACTCAGGCTCACGACGCTCTGTAAGACCTCCTGTGGGACCAGCGTAAGGAGAGGGAGCAGGGAGAGGCGAGGCGGGCGGTAACTGTGACTGCGGCTGGACAGGTAGAGGACCCTCGACGGAGGGAGGAGGACCAGGAGGAGGAGCCTGACCAAGAACCTGCTGAAGGAGCGGGACGAAGTACGGTCGCGGCCGCGCAGCGTCTCCAGAAGCAGCAGGGACACCAGCGGCAGCCCCAGCGCCCAAGTCCTCAGCACCAGCAGTAGCTCGAACACCCGAGTCCTCAGTACCAGCAGTAGCTCCAACGCCCTGGTCCGCAGCACCAGCAGCAGCGTCACCGGTCGGGTCCTCAGCACCAGCAGCAGCGCCACCAGTCGGGTCCGCAGCACCAGTAGCAGCTCCAACGCCCGGGTCCTCAGCACCAGTAGCAGCTCCAACGCCCGAGTCCTCAGCAGCAGCAGCAGCGCCACCGCTCGGGTCCTCAGCTCCAGCAGCAGCTCCAACGTCCGAGTCCTCTGTACCAGCAGCAGCGCCACCAGTCGGGTCCGCAGCACCAGGAGCAGCTCCAACGTCCGGGTCCTCAGCACCTGTAGCAGCTCCAACGCCCGGGTCCGCAGCGCCAGGAGGACCACTCCGAAGACTGCAGCGCCGTGTGTACCACTCTCGAATCACCTGAATGGGGGGGAGCTCCTGGGAAGGAGGGGAAGTACCGGGACGAGCTCCAGCAGCACCTCTCCGGAGGCGGCAGTACTCGAGGTACCTCTCCTGCAGCTGCTGGGAGGAGAGGGCTCCTCCAGGCGTAGCACGCTCAGGCTCAGCACCCCCAGACGTAGCACCCCCAGACTCAGCACCTCCAGGCTCCGCACCCCCAGGCTCCGCACCCCCAGGCTCAGCACCCCCAGGCTCCGTACCCCCAGGCTCAGTACCCCCAGGCTCCGCACCTCCAGGCCCAGCACCCCCAGACTCAGCACTCCCAGGCTCAGCACCCCCAGACGCAGGACGCGAGTCAACAGCTACCTCGACAGGCTCACCCGGGTCTACCTGGGACACACCTGAGGGAGCGGCACCCTGAGGGGGGAGGGGGTCGGGTACCTCAGCACCTGGAGCGAGGAAGAGCGGCGGAGGGGGGAGGGGGGCAGTGCGGTAGGGGAAGAGGCGGTAGAAGGGGACGGACTCGTCAAAAGTGACGTCCTGAGAGGCCAGAACCCGGCGCGAGGTGACGTGGTAAAACTGCCATCCAGGCGCGTCGGGAACAAAGCCAAGGAAGACACAGGGAAGAGCGCGACGGGAGAGCTTGTCCACAGACGTGTCGCGGACAAAAGCTCGGGATCCCCACACCCGGAAACGCGACGCATCGCCAACCTCTCCCGTCCACCGCAGAGTCGGGGAAGTCTCCGGCAAGGAGACACGGGGCCAGAGGTTGAGCTGATGCGCAGCGTACCGGACCGCAAACGGCCACAGAAAGTGGGGAGCAGCCGCATGGGTCAGGGAGGTACGAGCGACCTCCATGACTAAGCCAATGCGGCGCTCAGCAACCCCATTCTGCTGTGGAGAGGCCGGAAGCGTGTACGACTGCTCAATGCCGTGCTCAGCACAGTAGGCTGCCAAGAGGTCGGAGGCAAACTCACCACCTCTGTCAGAGTGCAAGCGCAGGACAGGAAAGTCCGAGTGAAAGCGCTCGCCTAGCTGGAGACGGGCTCGGCTGATCCAGGGGATCAAAACACCAGGGACGTCACCCTTGGCGCGCAAGGGGAAGACCGTGGTGTAGCGCGAGTAGTCGTCAACAACTATCAGGAAGTACCTCTCCTGACCCTGACCACGGACGCGGGCTGGGCCCCACACGTCCATGTGGAGCGTCTGCAGGGGAGCGGTCGTCGGGGGAAAGGAGGAGGAGTGAGGAGCGGCGCGCTGCCGCCCCTCGACACAGGGAATGCAGTCAGGAGCAGGGGAGTCAGGAAGGGGAGGGAGCACCCTGGGAAGACCAGCAACAAGGTCCCGTTTGTGCATGGCCCGCAGGCGCTGCACAGACGGGTGACCAAGGCGGTGGTGCCAGAGGACGGTGTCGTTCGCCAGAGAGCGACACGAGCAGGGGGCGGACAGCTGACCTGACGCTGACGCAGACGCAGCTACCTGAGGGGACTCAGTGGTCAGTGTGTACAGGTCAGACCCCGGCTCTCGAGTGAAAGTAGCTAGGTGGCGGCCCGTCCGAGCACACGTGCAGTGAGTCACACGCTCGTAGGCAGGGGTGAACTGGTGAACACCCCCGTCCTGGAGCGCACTACCTGCCACCAAGTTCGTGGAGAACGAGGGGAGGTAGAGACCTGAGAGCGTGCCGGACGGAACCGCTGGACACGGAAGGGTGGTGGAGGAGGTCGCAAGGACCGGACCCCCAGAGGGGTCAGCAAGAGAGACAGCAACCGGCCGAGCTAGAGGCTCAAGGACAGTGCGGTCACGAAAGAAAGAGCGAGAAGCACCTGAGTCCAGTGTGAAGGTGTGCAGTGCTGCAGTCGACTCAATACCAGGGGGCACAGACGCACAAGCACCTAGAGCAGCAGCTGCAGTAGTACCTGTGGAAGCAGACACACTAGCACCTAGAGCAGCAGCGGGGCTGGCCTGAATGCCCGGGTCGGGCGGAACACGCAAGTACTGAGCACCCTCTCCACTAATAGACATCGCATACATGGCAGTGAGAATAGCATCAAAGTCCAGTGCCCAAATATCAACACCCTTCCTGAGCAGCTCAGCCCAGCGCGGCAGCTCACCCCCACCAGGAAACTGGGTGCGCCACGCATCGTTGAGGCGGGCGAAGCAGCGCTCCGTCTGGTGCGGCCCCCCACACGTCTGGCCAGTGCGGTCACCTGTACGAATAACGTACTGGCAGGTGACGCTGCGCCGCGCATACCACTCACGGGCGGCCTGAAGGGTCGGGGAAGGCTGCTGACTCTGACCGCCCCCCGGGCCTCCACGACCACCACCCCCTCCGCCTCCGCCCCGGCCACCTCCACCCCTGCCGCTGCCACGACCACCTCCGCCTCCGCTGCCACCTCCGCCCCTGTCACCACTCCCAACGCCGCTGTCACCTCCACCACTGCCGCCACTAGCCTCTCCAGTCGCACCTCCACCGCCACCACCTCCACCCCCGCCTCCTCCGCCACCACCCCCACTCCTGCCACTCCTGCCCCTGCGTCGTCCGCCTGAAGCAGACGCAGCCCCGACCTTCTCAGCACCAAGGAGGTCGACAGCAGCAGCAGAGGCGACAGAGGGGAGGAGGGGGGAAGGGGAGCACCCCTCGAAGAAGGGGCCGCGGGGGTCGCCACGAGAGGTGCCTACAGCGACGATACTAGCCTCGGCTGCAAGCAGTTCCTTCTCGAGGAGGTCTACGGTGAGCTCAGTGGGGGAGCGAGAGAGGAACTGGTCCCTGACAGGGCGCAGAGAGTCAGGGAGGCGGGTGACAACGTGGTAGAGAGTGATCCAGAGTGGGGGGGGGTTGCTAGCGAGGAACTCGTCAGGCATGGCAGCGCGAAAGCGAGCCTCACTAGTCTTAAGGTGGGTGATGAGGTCTGCGACAGTGTGAAAGGAGGCTAGGTCGGGGAACAGGTAGGGGAGAGTGAGGCGGCCTAGCGTGGCAGAAGCGGGTGAGGAGTAGCGGGCCACTACAGCTGTGTAGAGGTCCTTAGCAGTCTTGCACTGGCCGAAGTGCTCGCGCTCATCTAGCGGCAGGGAGTTGCGAATAGCAAAGCGAGCGTGCGCGTCACGGGTCTGCCACTGTGAGCGCTCAGCTGGGGGGGCAGTAGCGAGTGGGGCGGTCGCATGGCCGAGAGCGTGGTCGTACAGAGTAATATCTTCCTTGGCAGTGAGCTGTAGGAAAAGGTGCAGGTCATCTAGCCAGGTTTCGAATTTGACCGGACGGCCCTCGGCGTCGAAAGCTAGAACAGGAGGACTAGCCATAGCGACAGCGGCAGTAGTAGAAGCAGTAAAGTCACTGAAAAGGCGTGCGCAGGGTCAGCGGGGCCGGTGGGGCCTACGGACTGTAGTGGCGCACAAGCAGCAGTAGCAGGAAGTGTAGTAGTAGGATCTGCAGTGGTGCACAGGCGCAGCAGGCGGCAGCGAGAGCCGGCGCAGCAGGGGCGGGCTCAGCAGCGGTGATACGCGGGCGGCGGCGGGCGCAGCAGCGGCGGTGCGCGGGCGGCGGCGGGCTCAGCAGCGGCGGTGCGCGGGCGGCTGCGGGCTCAGCAGCGGCGGGCCGGGAGCAGGCAGCGCGCGGGCCGTGCGGGCCGTATATGAGCTGTGCGGGCAGCGTGCGGGCCGGCGGCGGTCAGCGCACGAGCCGCGCAGGCTCAGCGCGGGCTGCGCGGGCTGCTCGCGGGCTGCGTAAGCGGGTCGCGGGCGGCTCGCGGGGGTTCGCGGGCAGGTCGCGGGCTGCTCGCGGGCAGTTCGCGGGCTGTGCGCGGGCTGCGCAGGCGGTTCGCGGGCTGTGCGTGGGCGGTTCGCGGGCTGTGAGCGCGGCGCGCTGTGCGGTTCGCGGGCGGCGTGACGGGGCCGATCGGGGCGCTAAGGGGCGACGCGACGGGGGCCGTGAGAGGCCGCTAGGAAAAAAAAAAAAAAAAAAAAAGTTCGACGGGGCCGCAGGGCCGCTAGATCGTGCTAGATCGACGGGGCCAGCGGGGCCGGAAACAAGCGAAGGTAAGCAGGTAGGTAAGTCGGTGGGCCCTAAGAACAGTCCTAGCGAAGGACCTGCTCTGATACCATGTCAGAAATAACTGAGCAGGAATGGTGTGACTAACAGGAACAACAGTACAAATATGAAACCCTAACCTGGTATACCCCCTAAGGTATCACCCACTACAGCCTAGAACAATATAAACATATAATGTTTGACACACCCCCAAGCTCAGCACCCCCAGGCTCAGCACTCCCAGCAGCACCACCCGCAGCAGCACCTGAGTCACCTGTGACCTCGACAGGCTCAGCGACGGGAGGAGGGTCTACCTGAGAGACACCTGAAGGAGCAGGACCCTGAGGGGGAAGGGGGTCTACCGGAGGGGGACCAGGAGCAAGGAAAAGCGGCGGGGGAGGGAGGGGGGCAGTGCGGTAGGGGAAGAGACGGTAAAAAGGGACCGACTCGTCAAAGGTGACATCCTGAGAGGCGAAGACCCGGCGCGAGGTGGGGTGGTAAAACTGCCAGCCAGGCGCGTCAGGGACAAAGCCAAGGAAGACACAGGGAAGCGTGCGGGAGGAGAGCTTGTCCGCGGACGTATCGCGGACAAGGGCACGAGCACCCCACACCCGGAAGCGCGACGCATCGCCAACCTCCCCCGTCCAACGCAGAGTGGGCGAGGTCTCCGGCAAGGAGACACGGGGCCAGAGGTTGAGCTGATGCGCGGCGTACCGGACAGCAAACGGCCACAGAAAATGGGGAGCCGCCGCGTGGACCAAGGAGGTACGAGCGACCTCCATGACCAGGCCAATGCGGCGCTCAGCAACCCCATTCTGCTGTGGGGAGTCCGGAAGCGTGAAGGTCTGCTCGATGCCCTCCGCCTGACAGAAGGTCCTCAAGAGATCGGAGGAAAACTCACCACCTCTGTCAGAGTGCAGACGCAGGACAGGAAGATCCGTCCGGAAACGGCGGCGGAGCTGGAGACGAACCGTGCGGATCCAAGGGATCAGAACAGCAGGGACCTCACCCTTGGTGCGCAAGGGGAAGACCGTGGTGTAACGCGAGTAGTCGTCGACAACCAGCAAAAAGTACCGCTCACCACCCTGACCACGAACGCGGGCTGGGCCCCACACGTCCAGGTGGAGGGTCTGCAGAGGAGCCTCTGTCGGGGGGAACGAGGAGGAGTGAGGAGCGGCGCGCTGCCGCCCCTCGACGCAAGGAAGGCAAGGCGGCGCAGGCGAGGCAGGGAGGGGAGGGAGGGACCTGGGAAGACCAGACACAAGGTGGCGACGGTGCATGCCACGAAGGCGTGGCAAGGAGGGGTGACCCAGGCGGTGGTGCCAGAGAAGAGTCTGGTGCGACAGGGAACGACACTCACAGGCGTGGGCTACCAGACCTGACGCAGACACCTGACCGACAGCAGCGACCTGAGGAGACGCAGTGGTCAGTGTGTAGAGACTCGACCCCGGCCGACGGGTAAACGTAGCCAGGTGACGGCCGGTCCTGGAGCACGTGCAGATCGCCACACGCTGTCCGCCAGGGGTAAAGGTGTCAACCCACTGATCCTGGAGGACAGCGTTGCTCACCAGGTTCGTCGAGAACGAGGGGAGGTGGAAACCCGACAACGAGCCAGACGGAACCGCCGGACAAGGGAGGACAGTGGTGGACTGGGCAAGGACTGGGCCCCCAGAGGGGTCAGCCAAGGAGACTGGGACCGGTGCAGGAAGCGGTGTGAGCTCAGTACTGTCACGAAAGAAGCAACGGGAAGCACCTGAGTCAAGGGTGAAGGTGTGACAGGCCTCAGCCGGTGCGGTACCTGAGAGAGCAGTCTCTGTGGGTGCTGTACCTGAGAGAGCAGACTCGAAACCAGCCAGGACAGCACTGGGGGGAGCAAGTACAGGGGGCACCATACCAGAGAGAGCAGACTCACTAGTACCCAGGGCAGCGGGCTCTATACCTGGGTCAGGTGGCACACACAAGTAACAGTCTCCCTCGGCACTAACAGTCAATGCATACATGGCAGCAATAATAGCATCATAGTCAAGAGCAAAGACATCAACACCAGCCCTCATGAGCTCAGCCCAGCGGGGGCGCTCAACATCCGCGCCCATCTCCTCACGCCAAGCGTCGTCAAGGCGGGAGAAGCAGCGGTACGGGGTGTGGAACCTCCCACACGTCTGTCCCTTGCGGTCACCTGTGCGAATGACATAAGAACAGCGGCCACTGCCCCCCGACGTCCCACGCTGAGCAAGCCACTCACGAAGCTGCTGGGTCGTCTGGGGACGCTGCTGCTGCTGGGAGCTCTGGCCCGAGCCAGTGCCTCCACTCCGACCTCCGCCGCCACCACTACCACCGCTCCGACCGCCACCGCCACCACCGCCACCACCGCCGCCACCGCCGCCGCCGCCGCCGCCACTACTGCCACTGCTTCCGCCGCCGCCCCCGCCTCCACCACCGACCCCACTCCCACCAGCGCTCCCGCCACCGCTCCCTCCAGCACCGCCTCCCCCCCCACCTCCCCCACCTCCTCCCCCCCCAGCGCCACCACCACCACCCTTGCCCCCCTTGCCCTTGCCGGTGCGGCGCCTCCCACCAGGAGCAGAAGCAGCGCCAACAGACTCAGCACCAAGGAAGTCAACAGCAGCAGCAGCAGCGTAGGAGGGAGCGAGGGGAGAGGGAGAACACCCCTCAAAGATGGGGGTGCGAGGAGCGCCACGAGCAGCACCAACAGCTACAATGCTCTTTTCGGCCGCGAGCAGGTGCTCCTCTAGGAGGGCGACTGTGAGCTCAGTGGGACAGCGAGCAAGGAAGTGGTCTCGAACTGAGCGGAGGGTGTCAGGGAGACGGGTGACTATGAAGTGGAGTGTCCAGTACAGTGGAGGGGGGTTCTTAGCGCAGAACTCGGTGGGAAGGGCGGCACGCAGGCGAGCATCACTAGTGCGAAGGTGGGTGATAAGGTCGGCGACTGTAGTAAAGGTGGACAGATCGGGGAACAGGTACGGCAGCATGAGGCGGCTAAGCTCGGCTGTGGCAGGTGAGGAGTAGCGAGCAACGACAGCATCGTACAGGGCCTTAGCGGATTTGCAGTCGCCAAAATGCTCGAGCTCAGCTAGCGGCAGGTGACTACGAATGGCTAGGCGAGCAGCTGCGTCACGAGTCTGCCAGTGGGAACGAACACTAAGCTCGGCTGTGGCAGCAGGAGCAGCGGCAGCACCAGACGCGTAGTCATAGAGGGAGATGTGGTCCGTGCTATTGCTCATAAGATACAACTGCAGGTCGTCGAGCCAGGAAGTGAACTGCACGGGACGGCCCTCAGCATCGAAGGAAAGAACGCGAATAGAGGCCATAGCTCAGGCGTGAGGGCAACGCAGAGCAGCGGCAGCAGCAGAGGGGACGCAGCAAGCGGGCAGTGAGGCAGCGGGCGGCGCTGCGAAGCAGGTAGCGGGCGGGCGGGCGGCGCTGCGAGCGGGCAGCGAAGCGGGCGGGCCGCGAAGCGGGCAGCGAGCGGGCGGGCGGGCTGCGAAGCGGGCAGCGGGGCGAGCGGGCTGCGAGGCGGGCGGGCCGCGAAGCGGGCAGCGAGCGGGCGGGCGGGCTGCGAAGCGGGCGGGCCGCGAAGCGGGCAGCGAGCGAGCGGGCTGCGAAGCGGGCGGGCCGCGAAGCGGGCAGCGAGCGGGCGGGCGGGCCGCGAAGCGGGCAGCGAGCGGGCGAGCGGGCTGCGAAGCGGGCGGCGAGCGAGCGGGCTGCGAAGCGGGCGGGCCGCGAAGCGGGCAGCGAGCGAGCGGGCTGCGAAGCGGGCGGGCCGCGAAGCGGGCAGCGAGCGGGCGGGCGGGCTGCGTGGCGGGCGGGCCGCGAAGCGGGCAGCGAGCGGGCGGGCGGGCTGCGAAGCGGGCAGCAGGACGAGCGGGCTGCGAGCGGGCGGCTCGGCGGGCGGGCGACACTGCGAGGGGCGCGCGAGGGCGCTAGTGAGGGGCGCGCGAGGGCGCTAGCAAGGGGCGCGCGAGGGCGCTAACGAGGGGCGCGCGAGGGCGCTAACGAGGGCGCACGAGGGCGCTACGAGGCTAGGGCACGGGGTAGCGTGGTAACCGCATGCGAGCGGTGGTGGGCCCTTAAAAAAAAAAACGGTCGGTAGGTCCTAGGGACCTCCTGCTCTGAATACCATTTCAGAATAACTAGGCAAGAATGATTGAACTAGCAGAAGTTTGGGTACAAATATGAAACCCTAGTTGGGGTTGTACCCCATATTGGCTACCCCACTACAGCCTACAAGCATAATACAGTTTAACATGATGATGTGTCGTCACGGATGCCGTAGATTTCTGGTTTAGGTTAGACCACACCAGTAATTGGTCATTAAAAAATCGTGAGGATAGCTCAATTCCGGTTACCTGTGGTTCGGAGAAGCCACGTCACTTGCACAGAATCTGAACACTTTGGGTGTGACATGGAACTGTGTGCCAGCTGCCAGTTACGATTCTGGCTTGTTTTTTCGCGAGCCTCGTTTTATTTTGTATCCCAGTTACTGTGCTCGCAACGTTCGACAATGCCTGTCAGAATGTTATTCTCTAGCCTGTAGTGGGGTGCTCTATAGCGAGTACAACCCATCTAGGGTTTGCTATATGTATCCTCATTGCTGCTAGTGAACCTCCTCTTTGCCTAAACTTTCTCTTGCCTAGCTAGGGTTCTCCTAGCTATGGCTCCTGCTTATGCTTACTCTTTTGACATGGTAACAGAGCGTTCACGCTCCTGGCCTGTGGGCCCCACTGCTGCTTCCGCTGCCCTACTCAGTGTCGCGCGCCCCGTGGCGCGCGACCTTCACATTTTCATCCCGCCGCGCGCTCGGGGCGTGCGGCGGTTTTCTCCCCGCCGTGCGCACCGAGGCGCACGGCGGTTTCCTACCGTGGGGGACGCCCGCGGCCCCCCGATCCCGTCGCCCGCGGCCCTCCGGTCCCGTCGCCCGCGGCCCCGCGATCCCGTCGCCCTGGGGAGCCGCACGCGACCCCCCGCGGCCCCGTTTTCCCGTCGTGCCGCCCTGGGGAGCCGCGCGCGACCCCCCGCGGCCCCGATTTCCCGTCGTGCCGCCCTGGGGAGCCGCGCGCGACCCCCCGCGGCCCCGATTTCCCGTCGTGCCGCCCTGGGGAGCCGCGCGCGACCCCCCCGCGGCCCCGATTTCCCGTCGCGCCGCCCTGGGGAGCCGCGCGCGGCCCCTCTCTGCCCCGTGGTCGCGTTCTGGGGGCCGAGCGCCGTCCCCCTCGCCGTCCCCCGCGCTCCTTCCCCCGTTCCGCCCGTTTTTAGGGTTTTGGGGTGCGGAGTGTGGGGGTGGCAGCTCTGGGGGTGCCGTGTGTGTGCGCCGTCCCCTGCTCCTCCTCCTCCTCCGTCTCCCACTGCTGCAGCTGCCGCTGAGGGGGGTGGATGTGTGGGAGCCGAGGTTTAGGGTTTAAGGGGGGTGCCGTGGAAGTGGAGCTAGGGTGTCAGCAGGGGGTGTGTGAGAGGGGCGTGGGACGGTCGGGGGAGGTTGAGCGGAGGCTGCCGTCTTGTCGTCAGCAGCACCTGTAGTCCGGGGCGCTGTTCCGGTAGCCCAGTCGTAGCCAGCTGCGCCAGTCGCCCGTGGGTCCGTTGCTCGTCTGCCGCTCTTCTTAGCCGCGGAGCCAGTTACTCCTGTAGTCCGGGGCGCTGTTCCGGTAGCCACTGTGCCAGTTTGACTCCTGTTGCCCGTGTGTCTGCAGCTTCAGCCGTCGCCTCTCATCTTCTCTCCTTCCACAGTTCCTCCTCCTCCTCACTTGCCCTTTGTGAATGCCTCTAGCTTTGCTTGCACTTGTGAACCTGCTTTCTACCTGCTTGCTCATTGTACTGATTACACCCCACTTTGGCTATGGGGGTGTGTCAGAATGTTATTCTCTAGCCTGTAGTGGGGTGCTCTATAGCGAGTACAACCCATCTAGGGTTTGCTATATGTATCCTCATTGCTGCTAGTGAACCTCCTCTTTGCCTAAACTTTCTCTTGCCTAGCTAGGGTTCTCCTAGCTATGGCTCCTGCTTATGCTTACTCTTTTGACAATGCCCACCTGATTCGGGCTGCAGTGTTCCTCAATCGTACACCAGCACGGGGGACTCAAGAGATTTGGTCGTGACCAGGTGTGCTGTTCGGTGAAGATGATTCGAAAATGATGCAATAAATTCGCGGCTCGGGTAACCCACGTATCCACAATTCGCGCCTCGGGTACCCCACGTATCCAACATGCGCGGCTCGGAAGCCACATGTATCCGAAATTGGTGCATGTTCCATTTTTCACTCAGAGCTTTTCGGATACTTTCTGCAACGTTTCTGCAACTTCCCTGCAACCTTCAGACTTAAACTCGAATTTGAGCCAAAACCTTTTCCGCGATGTCCCTTTTCGTCGCCCACTCTCTCGCCCCTCCCTTCCCGTCGCTCACTCTCTCGCCTCGTCCTTCCCGTCCCTCACTCTCTCGCCCCTCCCTTCCCGTCGCCTTCTCACACCCCCCATCACCTATTTCACCGAGCTCTCTGTAAATTGCCTACGCGTTTCATCCCACTCCCGTCGCCATATCTCGCTCTTTTCGTCGCTCTCTCGTCGCGATCGCCCTAGCAATCTCCTCTCCCACTCCGTCGACTCCCGTCGCCGCACTTTCTGCCCCTCCCCTTCCTCTCTCCGCTGCCTTCCGTGGTTATTCTTATCCCCCCTCCCATCCCGTCGCTCTCGCTGTCCCCGCTCCTCTCATCCTTCCTTGTCGTCTCTCGCTCTTTCGCCCCTCCTGTCTTTACCTTCGTCGACATCGCACTCTTCCCCTCTCCCCATCTCCCTCTTTTTCCCCGTTCGTGTCATCATTTTCCAGCCTCATCATTTCCCCTTCCTGTTTTTTTTTCCCCCATATCCCGTTATTGCACCTCTCCCAGGCCCCAAGTCCATGGCAGCACATTGCTCAGAGTAGCTCTCACCTCATTGCTGCACTTGCACTCCCATCTCATGCACCCGTCGGCTGCTTGGGATTTACCGTACCTTTTTGTGTCGTTAGATGTGAGTTTGGTTCAACTTATGGTACGGCTCTAGTGAATGCAGGAGTGCACATTGCTCACCTTTGCGCCAAACTCGCACATGAACACTGGTAGCATCTCGCTGCCAATCAGAATTTAGAACGAATCCCTTTCGTTCCAGGTTCATGCGAAACTTGTCTGATGTTGAAAAAAACCAAAAGTAGAGCACTCCAACTGTTTTGAAACATTGCTAAAAAAACTTCATAATTCAAGTTGGGACCAACTAGAAGGGGGGGGGGGTCACTATTTTAGCTGCTGGCTTTAAAATGTTTGAATGTTGTAGCGAAAATGTAGTAGAATATGTAGTGATGTTGTAGAAAATCAGTACGATAGCAACTTTAACAGCACAAAAAAAAAAAAAGATGGAGGCGCTCATAATATGCAAAGCTACAGGGGTGCGCTAAGAATCTGTAAGGCTCCATAAACGAGGATCGGATATAAGCACCGTCATCCTTTTATAAGCGCTCGCGCTTATCCGAGGCTTGCGCTTCTATCAGGGGGCTTACGATACATTATATTGATAAGCTATAGTAAGTAGGGTTGTAGAGAGTACCGTAAGCCCCCGGATATAAGCGCCACCCTCTGATAAGCGCCTAGCCAGGCCCTCAGATTCACTTTGAGGGACGTAGATGGATCAGGGTCCCTCTGCGTGAAATCCCTGATTGACAGTGTCCCCTAGAAAAAAAAACCATGAAAAATCAGTGTCACTAAAAACAAAACCCTGAAGCATCAGTGTTCCCTAAGAAAATATGCTGTTGTTACTCAACTGCACGGCTGACTGCCTCCTGGTACACCAGGCAGGAACGCGAGGCAGCCCCCCGCAGATGGAAAGCATGGAGCAGAATTTGTCTCGTAGTCACCGCCAGGCACTGCTGACACCGCGGGAATTTGAGATTCCCTGTAATTCCGGGCAACTACACTCGGAACGTGTAGGAATCGCATTCAGTCAGTTTCGGTACAACGTAGTGGAATCAGTGTCCCAAAACAGAAAAAACCTGAAAGTTCAGAGTCATCTGGCAGGAAAAGGCTGAAAAATCAGCCCCACAAAAAGCTGAACACTGGAAAATCAGGGTAGGTACAAAAAAATCCTTGAAAATCAGGAATTTCAGGAAAAAAATTCCTGATATCGTAGGGCCTGCGCTTAGCGCTTATTATTGGCATATGGCGCTTATATCCGGTCCTCGGTTATAAGCGCACCCCTAACGGCTTACAGACTATGAGGGCGTGTTCCTACGCTCTTATTAGGCGAACCTCTTGTCAGCATTGCCTTGTCAAAGTAGCGAGAGTTTTTGGGTTTAAGGAATTTTCAGTGTGTTTTGACGCGAGCTTGATAAGAGGTGGCCTGATAAGGGGCCGTAGGAACACGCCCTAAGCGCCACTGTTTGTATTATTATTATTATGTTTTGAAACATCTGTAACGAAACACACATTTTGCATCCCAACATTTACAATTTCGAAACCCTTCAAGTCAGAATGACCCGTATTGGGAAAAAACATGACTCGTTCTGACTGTGTGAACGAGATAAACACTTTGATGAAAAAAATAAAAATTTCATATGACATCATATAAGCCCAAGCGCTTATAAATTTACTCGAATATAAGCCCACCTTCCTAAACATACATGTTTTATTAACCCCCCCCACGGGGGCTTATCCGGGGGCTGACGGTACAACTCTTTCTAGGTTTGGCATTTGTATCTCCCACTTCCGGGGGCTAGTCGTCAACATTCCGCTATGCATCTCTTGACACTGTTGACCCACACTGTCAGCCCTTACACACTCCTCCCTTTCACCACCAATGGCCGGTTCGTCACCCTAGATCACTGCCATGTCATCAGGGTCACTCCCCTCCTGACCATCATCAACACCTGGCTGGCCTTCAAGACCTGCTTGTGCAACCACTTAAACCGCTTCTGTCCCCGCGCTCAAGCATTCTTCCCTGTCTCCTTCGCCTTCGACTCCCTTGTCCCCTTGTGCTCCTCTCCTGACTTTGTACTCATATCGCTTTACCTTATAGACTCGATTCCCCCCTTCCCACTCGCCTCGCCCAAGGCGAGGATGTCCATCTCATTACAGTAATTCGAATGGAGCCTCGCAAGCTGAACGACGACACGTGGCAGTCATGATTGACCGCCTGACACATCGCGACTCGTTACAGTGGTACTAATGCAGACTTCGATAGCAGAACGCGACGACGTCACGTGGCCGTCAATATCGACGAGCTGACACATCGGATACTCGTTATAGGCTACGTATGCCGCTAAGCAGCATTGCGAGATACACGATAGCGCTTGTACTCAGCGACAACGTGCCAACACGACAAAACAACCTCTCTTAGCGCGTATCACCTTTTCCTACGAATTCTAATTCCAGCGCACCTGTTAAAAATAAAAAAGAAAACGCGTTGAGAAAAATCAGGGCTCAGAAAAAGCGCAAAAACGGGTTGCGGCCGAAGCGCGCTACGGAGACGCCACGTGTCAGCAATACGCCTAGGAAGGAATAAGGGGAAGCCTCAGAAGCATCTGTGAAAGTGCGTGAGCGTCGCTAGATCTGGTGGGAGGTCTGGTGGGTTAGCAGCCTAGGGTTTCAGCCTTGGCAGCTTTGCGTGATTGCACTGGGGGATTGCTTGCGTGTTTCGGAGCATTTTGGCTACTGGTGAGATTCAGCTGTCAAGAGCACAACTAGGCGGGAAAACGTTGTGCGAACCGTTTATGCGGGAAAACAAGTGACGCTCGGGTTGGCAAACGTTTTCTGCCACGGTGAGCGGAGCTGCTGGGGGTTCGAAACAAATTTGGGGTTCTCCCGTGACAGGTTTTCACGGAACCTTCGGGAACAGGTTCGCATTGGGTTGTACTTTACAAAGGTCAACTGAATTGCAGAAAACTATCGAGGTTCCGAACACGCCCTGCACCATATGTTTCCAGCCATGGCAAGGCGGAAACTGGGATGATCGTTATCGATTTCAATTTCTACCCGATACGTTTGGAAACGTAGCTTTCACATGAGTTCGTAAGTAGCTGAGAGGAAGGTGTGGAATTCAGACTAGGTCCCCGCTGCCCACTTTTCGGCTGATTGAAGATGAGGGTTTGGTTTTCAAGCCTTAGTTAACACGCCAAACGCGTTCGCGGTCAACTGGTTGCAGCCTGGGTCGCGAGTGCCTGTGTCGGCGCCCGGGGGACGCGAGGGCGGCGCTTCCGTCATGGGCGTCACTTGGTGGGTGGGAAGGCTGCCGGGGTTCCTGCCGAGTCTGCGTGGCCTTCCCTCCCCCTCCCAACCCCCCCTGCGCGCACACTCCCCCAGCGCGCACACTCTCCCTGCGCGCGCACCCTCCCTGCGCGCAAACCTTCCCTTCTCGCCCACCCTCCCTGCTCGCACACCCGCTCTGCGCGCACACCCTCCCTGCGCGCACAGTCTCCCTGCGCGCACACCCTCCTTGTGCGCACGGCATACCGCGCGCACAACCTCTGTCCGTAGCTTCACAGACTCGTCACCTTTGCCCTGCATTCATCATACACATAAATCCCTGTCAAAACAATTCATCCCCCCTCTCCTCTCCCTCACGCTCCCTCATTTCCCGCTCCCTCATCTCCCCGTCCCTCATTCCCCACTCCCTCATGCCCCAACCCTAGTCCCCCAAACCTCCACTTTCTCAATCCGCCCCACCCTATTCTTCCCTTGTTTCCCCTCCTTCACTCCCTCCCCACCTCCCCCGTCACCCCACGCTGCCACTGGCAACCCTCGCCGTCCCCCCAGCCCCCCAGCAGCACAGCCCCTCCGCCCTCATCGTCTCCCCCCCCCCTCTTCCCCTTCCCCACCCCTTGACAGGTTGCTGCACTGGCAGCCGTCACCGCCCCCCCAGCCCCCCGGCAGCACAGCCCCGCCGCCCTCATCGTCGTCGCTGCTGTCCCTCGCGACATACACCGATGTGGCCAAGGCCATTGAGAGCCTGCCCGCTGTCAGGAAGGGAACAGATCTCGTTTCCTACTCCTGTGTCCCCCACTTCACCTCCCGCACTGCCTTTTTCCCCCATACCCCCCCCCTCCTCTCCTCTCCTTCCTCTCTCCCCGTCACAGGTTGCTGCACTGGCAGCCCTCGCCTCCCCCCCAGCCCCCGGCAGCACAGCCCCCCCACCCTCATCGTCGTCGCTGCTGTCCCTCGCGACCTACACGGATGTGGCCAAGGCCATTGAGAGCCTGCCTGCTGTCAGGAAGGGAAAGAACCTTATTCCCTATTCCCGTGTCCCCCACTCCACTGTCACGCACTGCCTCGTCCCCCCGTACCCCCCCCTCCTCTCCTCTCCTTCCTCTCTCCCCACGTTCAGGTTGCTACACTGGCAGCCCTCGCCTCCCCCCCAGCCCCCCGGCAGCACAGCCCTCCCGCCCTCATCCTCCTCACTACTGTCCCTGGCGACCTACACCGATGTGGCCAAGGCCATTGAGAGCCTGCCTGCCGTGAGGAAGGGGCGCTGGCAGTGCACGTGCTCGCTGTACCGCCCCAACACACGCGGTGAGACGGGGAGAGGAGGGGGAATGGGTACGAGAAGGAAAGCGAGGTGAGAGAGGAGGGGGAGAGGGGCTTGGCGGAGGTGGGGAAGAGGGGATTGGGATCTGAAGGAAGGACATTGATGTGTTGCCTGGAGGCTTTTGAACGAGCCAAGCCCATCCAGAGCCTGCCTGCTGTCAGAAAGGGGCGCTCGCTGGTAGTGCATTTGCTCCCTGTATTGGCCAAACACATGCGGTGAGGGGTGGTGGGAGGAAGGGAGAGGGGGGTGGCCATTGAGAGCCTCCCTGCTGTGAGGACGGGGCGCTGCGCTGGCAGTGCATTTGCTTCCTGTACCAGCCACACACAGGCGGTGAGACGAACAAGAGATAGGGGGGTGAGGAATGAAGGGTGATGGGCAGTGCTACTGCATCCCCTCACCACCCCCTTCCACCACCCCCTTCCACCACCCGCTTCCACCACCCCCTTCCACCACCTCCTACCAACCTCTTCTGCCGGCCTCTTTTGCCCCCCTCTTCTGCCGCCCCGCTCCATTATTCTACCAACCCCTTCTGCCAACCCCTTCTGCCAACCGCTTCTGCTCTTGCTCGCGCCAGACACGGCAGGGGCGACGCCATCCCAGTCTGACGTGGCAGCAGCGCGGGAGCTGTTTGGCGTTTCTTTTGCTGACGTGGCGGGGCGGCACTTCCTGGTGTTGCGGCAGGAGCGCGTGGTGGTGGAGGCGGAGAGCACCGTGCAGACGCTCATGGAGACACTGCAGCTCTACCGCCACCGCCTCTCCATCGTCTACGAGGTGAGAGGTTCCCCCCACTAGGGGCTTTCCTGCTTCAGCTGTACCGCCACCGCCTCTCCATCGTCTACGAGGTCAGAGCCTTGTCCTTGCTTTATCAGGTGACGTGAGGCAAATTCTGGAGTTCAATGCACAGTAGGTGAGACCCCCTGAGGCGGAGAGCACCGTCCAGACGCTCATGGAGAGACTGCAGCTCTACCGCCACCGCCTCTCCGTCGTGTACGGGGTCAGAGCCTTCCTTTCCCTTGTCGAATGAGAGGTGAGAACCCTCCCCCTCAGGGCTTCCCTAACTACAGATGCTCATGGAGTCGCCTCAGCTCTACCGCCACCGCCTCTCCATCGCCTACGAGGTCAGGCCTTCTCTAGGCATGTTGGATGTGAGGACCCCTTTTTGCAGTGCGAGGTGTGGACCCCACCCCACCCCACCCCTCCCATTGCTGCAGACGCTCATGGGGACGCTTCAACTGTACTGCCACCGCCTCTATAGTCTATGAGGTAGAGTCCTTCCCTGACCGGATGAGAAGTGAGACACCCTGTGCATCGTCTACGAGGTTAGACCATTCCGTAATGGCCCTTCCATCGCATGAGAAGTGAGACTCCCCCCTTTGGGGCGCCCCTTGCTGCACCTCTACCGCCACCACGTCTCTGTCGTCTATGAGGTGGGGCGGAATCTCACTTGCTGCTCTGCACTTTGCCCTGTCCTGTCCGATGCCGTACCACACCGTGTCTCCATTTTCTTGAGTGTTGTGTCGCTCGTGATTTTTGTCATTGATGTTTGAGAACCCCCCCAAACCCCACGCTACCACACACTGTCTACAAGGTCAGGTCCTCCGCTTGCTGTATGAGCTCCGACCTTTCCTTGATGCAGGAAAAGGGGGGATCGGGGTGGGGTTGAGCAAGGCCAGTGCACATATGTGATCGTGTGTGTTGCTTCACCCAGGCTCACCTCTTCCGCCTCTCGGCCCAGCCTGCATGGCCAAACCCTGTTCCGTTGCTCATCAGCTCTTGAGCTACTTCTTAGCACCTCATGCTTCTATCTCTTTCCCATCCCCTCTTGTCCTCTCTTGCCCTCCTCACCGCTGCCCTCCCGCTTTCCACTGTCCCCCTTCCCCCCTCGCAGGGCTTTGAGTATCTGATAGGGGACTTTGCCATGCGCCTGGGCCGCGCCATTCTCTCCACCAATGAGGCGCTGCGAGGCATCGTGGTGGAGGTGAGGCATCGTGGTGGAGGTGAGGGGATGCGGAGGTGGGTGATAATGGGTGGGTTTTGAAAGGTGAGACATCGTCCGGAGGTGAGGGATGAGAAGATGGGTGGTGATGGGGGAGGGGGGGGGGGCGGTGAGGCATTGGGGACAGATAGGGCTTTGTGGGAGGTGGGGCAGCTCACATGCACTATTTATGCCCTTATTGAGGTGACTTTTGAGTCGACTCAAAAGTCACCTCGTTTTGAGTCGACTCAAAAGTCACCTCGTTACAATGGCACACGACACTTTTTCTACACGGAGAGCGCTTATTGCTTGGAGACTACCTAAAAGAGTTGGAAACTTTTTAATTTCTGCTAAGAAGTGCTAGGTACAGTAGATTTCACTGTAGCCTTTATTGCATTTGCTTGTACAATGTTCACCTGTACCCCGCGAGGATTCTCCCGCGTTTTGGGTCCTGCGTTACATTTCCTAGGCCTATAAGTAGTGCCTTTACACGTAGACTAGCTTGTGGTCTGAAGAAGGCGTTTTACGCCGAAACCGGTTACCATCAAAATTCACACAAGCGTGTTCCTACGTAAACACCATTTCACCTACTCAGGTGTCACTATCAATCAATTGCTGCCACGTACTGCACCATGGCCCCCAAATGGGGTTCGATTGGGCAGCTCACATGCACTATTTATGCCCTTATTGTACCACTGAAAGGCACAGCACCCAGCACAGTGGTACAAAACCACAAAACCACTGTCTTGGCCACCCCATGCACCGTTTGATTGGCCCGCAAATGGTGTCCGTTCCTTGGTCATCCGACTTGGCCCATTTGCAGTGTGACGCATGTGCGAGGCGATTCTTGTGGGGCAATGCGTGTGTGGGGCGATGGGTGATTGATCCCAGCTCAAAGCTTCATACTCAAGTGGCTTCATCTCCGTGCCTCATACCTTCATCTCCGTGCCTCATACCTTCATCTCCGTGCCTCATACCTTCATCTCCGTGCCTCATACCTTCATCTCCGTGCCTCATACCTTCATCTCCGTGCCTCATACCTTCATCTCCGTGCCTCATACCTTCATCTCCGTGCCTCATACCTTCATCTCCGTGCCTCATACCTTCATCTCCGTGCCTCATACCTTCATCTCCGTGCCTCATACCTTCATCTCCGTGCCTCATACCTTCATCTCCGTGCTTCATTTTCCTCTCCTCATAACCTTCCCTTCCCCTTCCTTTCTTCGGTACCTCTACTTCTCCCCCTGCCTACTCCCACATCCATTCCCCTGATTAGGTGCAATGCCTCCCAAATCCTTCCTCCCGCTTTTATCTCTCTTCGTTTGTTCATCTCCTCCCCTCTGCTCCCTGTCTGCTCCCCATCTCTTTCTCATCATCCCCCTCTCAGCAGGTAGAGTACCTGCCCTCCTCATCCCTCCCACACGTATCCTCCCCAACTTCCTGGCTCTCAGGCACGACCCCGTGGTACCGCAATCACAACGTCTCGTCCTCCTTATCTGTCCACTTTCCCATCCCCATTCACTTCTCACACCCTCCCTACCTTCCCTAATCAGATTGAGTACCTGCCCACCTCCTCCCTCCCCGACGCGCGCCCCCTTCTCCTCGACTTCCTATCCATGTGGCACGACCTGGTGGCAGCGCAGGGCCTGGTGGGCCGCTTTGTGCCGCTCGACCCGGCCTTCTCCGACTACTCGCTCGGCGACACCTTCTCGCTGCCCCACAGCGCACTGCAGTTCGTACTCGTCTCCGCGCACCTCATGGCCGCACGTGCTTAACTGTCTCGGTTTTTTGTCACGGCATTATCCCTTCTCCGACTACTCGCTCGGCGACACCTTCTCGCTGCCTCACAGCGCGCTGCAGTTTGTGCTCGTGTCAGCGCACCTCATGGCTGCCCGGGCATAATCAGCTCCAATTCCTTTCACCTAGTCTCCTCCCACCTCATGGCCGCACGTGCTTAACTGTCTCACTGCCATCTGTGTCTCGCCACTATCCCTTCTCCGACTACCCGCTGGGCGACACCACCTCGCTGCCGCACAGAGTTTGTGCTCGGCACCACGCACCTCATGGTGGCACGGGCATAGCTCGACTCCTCCCATCCCATCACATGCCCGTTCGTGCCTGACCGTCTCCGTGCCAGATGTGTACAATGGCAGTTTTCCCTTTCCAATTACCCACTGGAGAGTGTAGCAAAACATTTGCAAGCTACCCAGGGGTTTCTGGTAGTTTCAAGGGGTGGGTTATTTAGGGTTGATTTATGAAAGAATTCAGCGCACCAGGTCCACGAAAAGAAGATCCAAAGACCAGTACAGCACACCAAAATTGTGACAGCACATTCAATTCATACAGCCTTGTACTACGATAGTTCTGCCACAACGGTACTATGCGCGGTACTCTAATCGACAGGAAAGGAACAGTAAGGGCAGGCGGAGCCAACGGAGAGTGGCACCGCAACAGAGGGGAGAGCAGGGAGAGAAGAAAAGGGACGAAGGCGAACAGGGAGGGAAAGCAGAAAACTCCTAGCGAAAATAAAATACTACTTGTTGCCCAGAATGGCTCAACTACCATGTTCCAAACCAAACAACCGAAACGTTTCTTCCGATGCCATGCACCCTATTCAGCTTGAGAACACCAAGCTTGACTACTTCCCAGGCAGAGCCTCATGCAGCCCACAGAAGGCACATAACAGACACGGGCTTCCACAGTCCGTTGTTCCTGATGACAGAGACATGAGGATTGAAGGAAAACGATAATTTGAGAGCTCATGCATACGATGCGGAATATAAGCAAAAGGAGTGGCTGTTGAGGGCTAGAGACAGGGAAGTTGGAGGGCAGATCTTAAGGAAACGACCAGCCGGAAGAGAGACAGAGGAAGAGAGGGAGGAGAGAGAGAGAGAGAGAGGGAGGAGAGAGAGAGAGAGAGAGAGAGAGAGAGAGAGAGAGAGAGAGAGAGAGAGAGAGAGAGAGAGAGAGAGAGAGAGAGAGAGAGAGAGAGAGAGAGAGGGCCGGAATCGAAGACGGCTGGCAAGGGAAAAGGGCCCGCTACTCGGCCACAATCCAAGCAAGCCGCCCGTCCATCCAGCAGAGCACGGACGCGGCTGAGAGCGAGAGAGAGAGAGGTTACCTTAGCCCTCTGCCCTCTGCTCAACCCTCTGCCCTCTGCCTTCCCGGCCTATTTAAGGGCTGCTTGTGCTGGCTTCTCTTCATTATTCCGTTGTGGTTTCATTTTCGGCGGCTGAGAGCGAGAGAGAGGTTACCTTAGCCCTCTGCCCTCTGCTCAACCCTCTGCCCTCTGCCTTCCCGGCCTATTTAAGGGCTGCTTGTGCTGGCTTCTCTTCATTATTCCGTTGTGGTTTCATTTTCAGCGGCTGAGAGCGAGAGAGAGAGAGGTTACCTTAGCCCTCTGCCCTCTGCTCAACCCTCTGCCCTCTGCCTTCCCGGCCTATTTAAGGGCTGCTTGTGCTGGCTTCTCTTCATTATTCCGTTGTGGTTTCATTTTCGGCGGCTGAGAGCGAGAGAGAGAGAGGTTACCTTAGCCCTCTGCCCTCTGCTCAACCCTCTGCCCTCTGCCTTCCCGGCCTATTTAAGGGCTGCTTGTGCTGGCTTCTCTTCATTATTCCGTTGTGGTTTCATTTTCGGCGGCTGAGAGCGAGAGAGAGAGGTTACCTTAGCCCTCTGCCCTCTGCTCAACCCTCTGCCCTCTGCCTTCCCGGCCTATTTAAGGGCTGCTTGTGCTGGCTTCTCTTCATTATTCCGTTGTGGTTTCATTTTCGGCGGCTCGCGCCGGCGGCCTTCGGCCGCGCATTTCTGGTGACAAGACAGTCACACAAGATCACGACTACTTGAAGCACACACAAGACAAGCCAGCAGGGAAAACGAGCACAAGGAGAGACAACATGCAGTTCTACACGCGGCGACGCGCTACTGCGTGTACAGGCCAGCCCCCTCCGCCTCAAGCATCGAGAGAAGGCACCCCGCCATCGCATGGAGGAGCTCCGCCGAGAAGCGGAGAGTGTCAACCGGGGTCCCGCCCTGAGCCGCCGCGTGAAGATCAAGCGCGAGGCGGGGGAAGGTACGGGCTAAGGGCGCTACCCCGGCGGGCGCTTCCGACACGGGCGATAAAAGGGGGAGAATCGCTGCTGCCCAGGAGACGCACTGTCCTTGGGGCACTTGAGCAAAACTGCTCGGTGTGTGACGCATGGCCTCACACGCCGCCAGCTGCAAGCTCGCCACCCCCTCTGCAGCCCCCGCCAAGTTCCACATCCGGCACATGCTCAACGTGGGGTCTCTCCCCGCGCGGCTGGGGAGAGGTGCAGTCGGAATACCGCGGGGCGGAAGCACCGCCACCTGTTCTGGAGCTCGGCCAAGGGAATTCAGAGGAGCTGTGTAGCCAGGGGCCTGGCGGCGTCCGCGGAACGGGCCCCCCCTCCTCACTGCTGCTGGCAGATACTCGCGCAGAGTCGGCGCGCGCAACGGAGCCGCATCAGCCTCAGCAGGGGTGGCGGGGGGCTCGGAGGCCACTGACAGATGATTTCGAGCCGCTCCCCTCCCCGCGTGCGCCTGCAGCACCGCTTCCGCCAGCACGTGAGCGGCGCGGTCTATCGCGGAGCCTCGTCCGCGGTTTCCCCCGCCGCGCGGAGAACCATTCCGCCGCCCACGCTGGCCACCAGATCCCGGCGACTGAGGACGCGGCGGAGAACGCTCCCTCCTGCGGGAGTCCCCACGCCCCGCGTGAGCCCCACGCCCCCGGCGAGGCGGCGACGGCTGAGGCGAGCGCTGATGGGGAGACCGCTGCCGCGGCGAGCGCTTCCCCGGCGACCTCTGCGGAGAACGATAGCGGCGGTCGCGAGGCTGGACGTCGCGCTGATACTCCTCCCGCCGCCGCCGCGACTCATGCGGCGCAGGGGAGCGATACATAGGGGACGCGGGGCGGGACTCTCGGCGCTGTGGGGATCGCCCGCGCTCCTGACGCACCGGCCCCGCATTCGACGCGACAAGAGGGGGAGCGCGGGACTGCTCGGGAGACACGGGGCGGTCCCGTGAACGCAGCGGAAGAGACAATCCGCGCGAGAGGCGTCGTATGGGCTCGGTCGCAGCAGGTCGTGCAGGAGCTAGGGGACGGGGAGGCGCAGAATCTGGGATCAGCTCCGCCACGGGCTGGGCGCTCTCCGCGGTTGCCTCCAAGGCGCGGTCGCGACCCACGGACTCCGCCATCACGACCGAGACGGGAACCGACGACGCCAGAGCCTCGGCCTGTGTTGGACGTAGTTGGCGAAAATCGAACGCCAACAGCTCGCGGCCTGGCCACGCCGCGAGGAACGCCCGTCGGGCGGCGCGCAATGGGAATAGGACGGCGAGCCGGAAGGGCCTACCAAGGTGGCGGTCGTCGGAGTAGTGCAAGCGGATACGCGAGAATTGCGGAGAGACGTCTTCGAGAGCGCGCGAGAGACGGTGAAGGGGCGGCTAGCGAGGGAGGAGACGGTGAATCTGAGAATGACGGGAGTAATGGGGGTGACCCCGGTTTTATCCCTGAATCGGAGGGGATTTCAGATCTAGAAGCTGAAGAGGAAGTGGAGCTCTTGGTACATGGGGCGGAATTCCCCAACCGAGAAACCGGAGCAGCATCTGCAACGCGTGCACCTGCAAGGAATCGGACCGCAGGGGGAAACCGAGCCGCAGGGGGAAATCGAGCCGCGGAGGGAAATTGGATGCAGAGGGGAAATCGAGCCGCGGAGGGAAATTGGATGCAGTGGGGAAATCGAGCCGCGCCTGCAAACACAGCCAACCCAGGCGCAACCAATGGGAACCCTGCAGCCCAAATCCCCCCCCACCAATGATCAACGCGGCGGACCTGGCGAAAAGGCTGGACCTATTTGCTCAGGTTGCAGACTGGGACCTCCAGCCACTTCGCGACAGCCGTCAGCCACCCCTCGCACGACATCCGCCAAAAGACCTTCGCGAATCGTTCGCTGCCTGCCTCCTGACTCCACTCCTCCACCTGGCAGCCAATCCCAACTCAACTCCAGGGTGGAAGTTACTGGTATTCCTCCCGCGAATTCTTCTCCGCACCTCGTCAGCTCGCAAACCTGACTGGTGCGCGATGATGAACAGACTCCTTCGTTTTCGCCAGGGGTTCTGGTCCGACCTGTATGACGAAGCGGTAGAAGCAATCTCCCTCCCACCCCAACCCCGCCACGCACCTGACACGCAAGGCATTCTCGCTAGAGCAGAGGGACTGGCTAAGCGAGAAAACCTCGCCAAATCACTCCAATCTCTCCAAGCCACCCCCGTCTCACCCGCCTCCCCAGACGTACTCGCGGCCTTGGCGGCCAGACACCCACAAGCACTCCTCCCCTTACCTGAGTGGGTGCGTGCCTTCTCCCCCGCGAACACACCGGCGATAGAGCCTCTAGACTTCCGTCGCATCATCGCCAAGCTCCCGAACGGAGTCGAGGCCGGGCCCTCGGGAACCACCTTTGTGCACATCCGGGATGCTGCACTCGGAAACCCTGACATCTTCAACCACCTCCTGGCACTCACCAACACAGCGCTTGCAGGGAAGCTGAGCGCCGAAGCCGCGGAACTCCTTACTGCCTCGCGCCTCCTTGCATTCACGAAGCCCCAGGGAGGTACTCGGCCCATAGCAGTTGGCGAATGCCTCCTGCGCATAGTCGCGAAAGCCGCCCTGTTCTTGACAGCCGCGTCTGCGCGAAGGCACTTCGCGCCCCTGCAATTCGGAGTGGCGGTAGCCGGAGGGATTGAGGCCGCCATCCACACAGCGCGCACCTACCTGGAAGCGAACGAGGGGGCCGTGGCGCTGCAGATTGACCTTGCCAACGCTTTCAACGCGGTGGAAAGAGCGGCGGTGTTCGAGGGGCTGAGGAACGACGCGCTAGGAAGCCTGGTGCCCCTCGTCCGTCTCTCCTATGGGGCTCCCTTTGCCTCCACCTCGACCATGACTTCGGGGTGGCGCCACTCCAGAGCGCAAGAGGCGTCCGCCAGGGGGACCCCCTTGGCCCCTTACTCTTCGCGGCAAGCATCCACCCATGCTTAGTTGCCACCGCCGCAGCCCATCCCCAAGTCGTCATCCTTGCCTACGCGGATGACATCACCCTTATGGGCGAAGCGGCAGCCTGCACGGACGCCTTCGCCTACCTCACCACGGCGCTGAAGCGCCTAGGCCTCGAGCACAACATGGCCAAGTGCGAAGCTTGGTCCGCAGCTGCCGTCGACCCCGCATCTCTCCCGTTGAACATCGCCATCGCGGCAGACGGGCTCCGAGTCCTTGGGAGCCCAATCGGCACCGCCGCTGGCTGCGCAGTGCGTGTGAGAGAGAGGCTGGAGTCCGCGGCGGAACCGCTACCGCTGCTGTCCCAGATGGACCCGCAGCTGAGCCTGCTCCTTCTCACTCGCTGTGTGAGCCGGCGTGCCTCATTCCTAGCCAGGACAACGCCCCTGTCAGCTTTACCTGAGGCTGAGTGGTCGGCGTGGGGGGAACGGCGGCTACATACATTCCTGGAGGCAGCACACATCGCCTGCCCAAGGAGCGAAGAGGAGAAGGGGCGGATATGGCGGCAGGCGGCGTTACCTGTCACTTTGGGAGGGCTCGGCATCACCAACCCGGCGGTCGAAGGAAGCTACGCCTACCTGGCGTCGGTGGTGGGAACCTCCCACCTGCTCCGCTCCCTGGCCGACACACTGCACCCCGACGTGACCTCCCTCCTCCCCCTTTTTGACCCCGACCCTGGCTCTGCCCAGGCCCTTCCAAGGCGGCTTGCAGCAGCAGAAGCGGCCCTCCCTCCAGAGGCTATGGAGGCCCTCCAGGCGGGAAAGGCTAACCCCCAAGGACTCAAGCTGCAGCAGTCCCTCGCTCTGGCGGTCCACACCCACCACTACCTAGGGGTCCTGGATGAAGCAAGGCAGATGCGGCCCAACCCCCTCTCTGGCCACGCCCAGCGGGTTCAGGCCAACGAGCTCAGGCCAACGCCCTCCGCTCCAAGACCAACGAGGCCTTGGCTGCGGACGAGCTCGGCCTACAAGGCCCCATTGTCCCTCTTAGCGAGGGGCAGCTGCACCAGCTGATCGAGCCCCCATTCGACCACTAGGGTCGGACTGAGGGGGCGGGAGAGAGTAGGAGTTTGATTAGGTAGTAGGTTTTCTGGTTTTGTGGTTTGTTTGCTTGGTTTTGCACCTTCCTTTGTAAGACCCCCATATTAATGCAAGGTCCATTCGAGAGAGAGAGAGAGAGAGAGAGAGAGAGAGAGAGAGAGAGAGAGAGAGAGAGAGAGAGAGAGAGAGAGAGAGAGAGAGAGAGAGAGAGAGAGAGAGAAGGGCCAAAATCAAAGACGGCTGGCAAGGGAAAAGGGCCCGCTACTCGGCCACAATCCAAGCAAGCCGCCCATCCATCCAGCAGAGCACGGACACGGCTGCAGGCACGATGTCCTGCGGAGCCTGCAAGGCGGCAAGGGCCAGCCGCCTCAGAGAAGCAGGACCAGGCCCCAAAGCGGAACCGGGGGAGCCTGGCACTAGCCCAATCAAAGGCAGCATCTGCAGCATCTGCACCGCCGCTGCCGCTGCCTCCTCCTGCTCCTGCTGCGACATTGCCGGGGTCGCATCTTCAGGCCGCGACAGCCGTGACTGATACAGGTGGAGCTGGTCAAGGACCATCGCTAGCAGGGTCAAGCAAGTCCCCACGTGCCCAACGCGTTTCTCGATGCGCCGGCACCGGGGGGAGCGGGGCGACAATGCGTCCACCGGAAACGAAGGAAACGGAGGGGGAGATCCAGGGTCTGGAGACACACGAGGGGCCGGCTGCGGCGGTTGGGGAGGTGGAGGAACGTGCGGAAGGGGCAGCTCACGAGCAGGTAGCGAGGGCGGAGGTGGACGAGTCACTGCCTGGCGCACTGCCTGGGAGTTTGGCGGCGGCAGAGACGGGGGAGATGGCGCGGGCGGCTGCAGTGACTGCTGAAGTGGAGTGGGCGGCTGTCGAGATGGCCGCTGCCGCTGTCGGCGGCTCTTCTGCACCTTCTGCCACGGCGGCGCTCACCCCACCGCCTGCTGAGGGCTGGGGACCGGTGGCTTGCCACAGGACAAGGAGATGACACCGCCTCGGCCCCTTGGACAGGAGTCACATGGGATGGCTGGGCCCGCGGCTGCTGGCCCGGCTGCCGCTGCTGCTGAGCTTGGGGAACGAGGCGAGCCGGGCGAGGGGGCGGACGCTGAGTACGCCGAAACGACTGCTGCTGGCGCGGCCGCAGCATCGCGTGGGTGCGGCCGGGGGGGGAGTGATACACAGGGCCGCGCTGACCCTGGCGGCGAAATCGCCTCTCGCGGGACGACCGCGAGGTTCCGCGCACAGCCATCGCCGCGGCGGCTTGGATCAGGGCTGGCGCCGGGTCGCCCGGAACCCCTCCTGGGCTGGCTTCTGCAGGGGCAACAGCCACCAGAACGAATGCGGCCGCCGTCATCTGCAAATGTGCAGGAGGAAGGGGGGAGGGGCGGACACGATGAGGCAGTGACGGAGACCACTGCAAACCGCGAAGCAGGGCAGAGGGTCTCTAACGAGGGCGACAGATTGCAAGTGAACCCCCTGCCAAATGAGACCGCCCCGTATACCGAGGGTGTGGCAACGCGACGCTCAGCGAGGCTGGGAAATGTCACGTGGGGCCCTCCAAGAGGAGGCCGCACGCCGTGGATGCCGGCGGGACGAACGAGGTTGGAAGCCACAGCCCGAGCAGCGCAGGCGGCAGGTCGTGGTCTGCGCGGTGCAGTCCGCGGAAGGCGAGGGGGAGGGCGTGGGGAAGTCACGCGCCTGGGGGGATCTGAGATCCAGGCTAGAACGGGTCCCTGGTGGCAACGCCACGACCGCCCAGAGCGTACAGAGGCTGCAGCCAATGGGGCCGAAGCTGGTTCTGCTGAAGAGCGAGACGATCCAGATTTTATGTGTGGCGAGGAACCGGGCCCCGAGTCGGAAGAAGTCTCGCTGGATAACGATGAGGAGGTGGGAAGAATTCGGAATCGTGCGAGAGGCGGGGGTGAGGGTGTAGACGGAGTGACTTCCCAGCCGGATGGAGTTCCTACACCAACTGCCGCGGTTACACAAGATGCCCAACCCCTGCACGCGAATTTGCCCTGCCCGCGATGGAAACTCTGCACCCGTGTATTAGGGTACCAGCCAGTTGCACCCCATTTACAAGCACCTCGAGCAATACGAA